GAAAACTTGACACAAACCCTATACCAACCCGTCTGGTCAGCGTGGTATAGTAGGCCAAGACCTCCTTTCTAAGGAGAGACACATCCAGCAGTGGTCTGTTAAAGGCTGTTGATGTGATGTGAAGTGAAGCTCCCAAGCGAGTTAAACCAGGGCAACGTCCACCAGCTTCTTTTCAGTTGCTTCTTCTCAAACTATAATTACTCATATTTCCTTACTCGGTGGCAAGATTATTCCGTAGTTATATTCATGTGTTCTGACAAATTTATTTCTGTTCTATATATATTATATGTATGCATTGCACCATTCAGACTTTTAACAAACGGTACTTTCGGGTTTTTATCATCATCAACAGCCTATAATAGTGCACTGCTGGACATAGGCCTCTCCTTAGAAAGGAGGTTTTGGCCTGCGTTCGGGTTTGCAGGAAAACAATGTCTTTAAAAATATTACCAATCTGTTGCGATTGGGTTTGGTTTCGGTTACGACTCGGTTGGCCAAAGGCCTCATCCCACGTATTTAACTTTTCAACTTCTTCCAAACCGCCTCGACCTCGAACCCGTGACTCGTCGATATGGTAACTATCTAAGTGCGTTACAAAACGACAACTAACCGTAAATAGCTTATTCTTCTGCTTCTGTTAAAAATATTACGTTTTAACCCATATCGATGCTTTATTTTTGGTTCACAGAATATATATTAAAACATCTATTATTTAATAAATGATTAGCTTAATAATAATATACACTTTTACAACAACAGAAAAATATTTTTGGTATTGATAACTCTTGGATTAAGATAATACGAGGAAAGTAAATTGTTCACCTATGATTTTAGTAAGAGGACCTGAGATAACCTGCACTGTTCAAGGGTAAAAGATACCAGTGAAAGTGCATCTCGACCTTCAGCTGGATAATAGGTCACAGATAGTGTAAGACGAAACGTCATTTACTACAACTAACAGGTGACAATTACATTTTATAATTGGTGAATTCATTACATAATCATCTTGCCCTATTTATATATTTATTTCATATCCAAAAAAAAATTGGATATGGCTTTGAATATGGAAGTTATTGCAAGGATATCTTTTAGCGTTTAGGAATCAAAATAACAGTGTTTCTACCAAACACAATTCTACCAAACAATTATATTACTTTGACAATCTTTTTGAACTACATCATCATTTTAAAAGGTCGTTTTTTGTTAGTTCTTTTAAATAAATCCTAATTTGTAAATGCTATTGTTTATACTCCCCAATACGTCCAGCAATATCCAACAATTTGATTGAAAAAGGGATGTCTAGGGATATCTATTGATTATTATATTGATTGAATTCCATCTTACTAACTTATTATTTTCATATTGAACGTAATATACCTACGATATAAACACGCAATAAAAATTAATACCGGTACATTTGATATGAAATTGAATATGGAAATTGCAATCGGTTTTAGCTGGTTTTTGAGTAGTCGTCGCCTTGCCTGACGCTGACTGTCCTTGGGATTTTAATCCTTCTGAGACAAGACTAATGATGACAGTAAAGGAGGAGTAAGGAAAACGAAGTTGTACGGAGGGAGGGCAAAGAATACCACTAGTATTGGATGGGAGACTAAGAGTACATCGAAAAGGTCACGTTTTAGCATTCTGAGATCTGGAAAGGCAGGGATGTCTACTGATCAATATAATGTTGAGAATTATTCCTATCAAATTATGTAGAAAGCATCGTGAAATTCTTAGCTTTATATCCATGTCCGTATGGATTGAGGAACCCCTTCAAATTTTAAATGGAAACTCACCTCTTATTAGGACTAATTCTGAAATTTGTAGTAAGATATGTATATCCAAAGTTAAATCAATGTAGCTCTTCAATCTTAACATCTAAATTGAGGAGCCACTTGAAACATGGCAAGTATTTAAAAAATATTTTTGAAAATTTTGTAGGTACCATTAAGTAGTAATTGTGTATAGTGCCTACTAAAAATCTGAATCGAGTACTGTTGAAATTCAAGAATACACAATACTTTTAATGTGGCTCCTCAATCTATATTTATTTAAGAGTGTGAATTGCAAAAAGTAATAGGCCAAAATTTACTACCACTTTGGCCACAAATTGGCCACTCCAAAAACATTTAGTAGCAAGTGTGTTTGAATTTGTAGCATCAGGAAGTAGTAAAACTGAGTGGTAGTAGTAGTGGATTTGACTCCTCAGTCCTGACGTGCTCCACAATAAATAATCGACTGAGATCTGAGACTGATCCTGAGATTACAACTGAAACAAAAACCAGAGACATTTAGTTTAAATGTCTACTAAACAAATATGTACAGATTCGGTATCTGAAAAATAAATTACTTTTTGATATTCCCTATGAATTCGCTATTTAGAGTGACCATGACAAAATATGACTATGGACAATGGACTAGTTTTTGAAATTTAATTTTCAACAAATCGACAATTATTGAAATATAGAAATGTACAGAAGTTCTTCAGTTATAAGTATTTATTAATCAATTTGGACATAAGTTATACAATAAACTAATTTTGTTTGGTCGGTGCTTTGACGAATTTTACAGTGAGAATCAAAGTCGTTGTAACAAAACATCGCATCCTTCGTTGGGTAGTAACATGTAATAGTCTCATGCCAGCGTCGCTAATTGCAGAGATAATTTATATAACACCTATTCTTATACTACCTACTAACACCTATTTTTGCCTCGTTTTGTATCGATAATAATAGTAATTAAATATAAAAGTTCACTACGTAAACGTACTAAAGTAAAATTCACTACGTCTGCAATAACTATTTATCAGTGTTGAGATACTGACTTGTGTCGTGTTGTATAGCGATAGCGAGCTAAATGAATATTATTGAGTATAGCTAGGTAACAACATTAATTTGCAGTTACCACCAAATAATTAGAAGAAATAAAATAAAATCAATTAGTTTTTACACGAAACTGAACGAAAAAATACCTTTTATATAAGTTATTTATAGACACATTGGACACCCTACAAAAAAATTTGTTAGGAAATTAAAGAATAGCTAATAACTTCGTAGATACTGTACTTTTTTATGACAGGATTACGTACATTTAGTATAAAATACAAAATATAGATGTTTCATTTTACATTTTTTTTTTAAATGACTACTAAATAATATATTAATTTCATTACGATTTGAAAAGTGGCTCCTGAATCCAAATGGACATAATTATGATAAATATACATCCATTATGTTCCTTGTTCTGACGTGCCTCCTCAATCTAAACATTTAGATTGAGGAGCCACCTTTATGTTCATATAACTTTAGAAGTATTTATACTACAAAATCGAGGATCGATCCTACATTTCTTTTTTAATTTACTACTAAATAATAATATTAAATTCATTAAGATATGAGAAGTGGCTCCTCAATCCATACGGACATTTATATCCGGCGCCTGTGCAAATTCGAAAATAGAAAGTTTGTTTTAATAACACACGATCTCACTCGAACAGAATAAATGTTGTTGAGATGAGATCACTGCGAAGTATGTACGGAGTAAGATTTAAATTTTCTGAAGTTTCGACTAATTTCCACTGACCACAGACAGGTAATTTTCGCCGAGGGAGAACCTAGCTACGACACATATTTATTTATTTATTTATATGACACACAATACAACTATTTTTACAGGTTTTGTACCTAATACAATAGTGTACAGGTAAATTAGCTTGGAGATTTTTTTGCGTTTGTAGTAGTGTATGGTTGTGCGTGTTTCCACTTTCCACTATCAAGTGACGATTTTTTGCTTTAGATTGAAATATATCGGAATCGGTGCGTCCTAGGCCAAAAATAACAAAAATTTTGACCCCCCCCCCCCCCGTAGACCCCCCGGAGTTTTAAAAACCAAGATGAAAGGAAAAAAAAAAAATTTAAATATCGGTCTCTCCTCTTTGAAGTTTCACTTCTATCGTGTGTCAATCGCACACACACCTTTTTTTTTATAAAGTCAAAACCTTTTTCTTTAAAATAAAAACTTGTTTTTATTGAAAACAAAAATCAGAGTGTTGCTAGGGATGAGTATAAAATTAAATAGTAATGTTAGGATATCGAAACATTTTTGTATAGGCCAGAACGATATAGTGGAAACGCGCTCTAAGATCTGAGTAATATACACACCACTACATATGCAAAAATTTCTCGAGACTAATTTCACTGTAGCCATTTGTTGTTAAAAACATATATAGTAGTAAATAACACTTATTTTATAAACAATTTTAGCAACCTCATTCATCACTACAGCAAGACACACAGTCACACTCATATACTTCCAATCACACCCATCACAGACAAAACAACTCCAAGACACGGCACATCCTGACCCGCCTATCACACAACCACTCGTCCATGTTATAGCAAATAACATTTAACGCTACTCTTGTGAATTCACTCAGACCACAACAGAATATGTCTATCTCGCTGGCTATTAGGTTTAATGTGCGAAGTGCGCGCGTCAGTGGCGCCTGGCTTAGAAGATTGGTACGGGCGCGCGGCTCCGCCAACAATCTCGGTTTTCGCCGTCGCCACACATACCTACCCGTATATATATGTGCTGACTCGACCGGAGTTATACCACTGCCTCACAGAAAACCTATGTTACGCAATTCTGTATTTGCATTGTAACGAGTGAGTGAGGTTACCGGAATGCCGAACCCACTCTCTAATTCTGGAGTGGCACTGAAAGGCATGCAACGTATTCGTCACTTTTGAGTTGCAGATATCTCTAGCCGGCGGGTAGTCACCATCAGCCGAACTGTCTTTTGCTCTGCTCCCTAAACCATAATAAAATAAAAAAAATTAAGGAATAAAGTGATTCATTATTTACTTAACACCTAATTTCGCAACTTCGGACTAATTCTTATTAGCAAGTCCATCTGTGACGAAGCAGTTAACTTAACTGATATGTATAATTTTCAGTGAGGCGGGTGCGCCTTGTGAGGGGTGTCCCGACGCGCCATGGAAGACGACGTGGTGTTCCTGTTCCAGCTAGGCGTAGTGCGCGATGCGGTAACTGCGCCTGCGCACCTGCTCACGCTCGCACACCTGAAAGAGCTCGCCGTCAAATTCGTGCACGAAAAGGTACAGTGAGGTTTCTGAATTGCAGTAACACTTGAAATGTTTTCCTTTGTACACTTTGGATGTAGTCCGCATGCCTGCTTGGGTGTCTACCACTGCCACGGTGTTTAAGCTCAGCTAGAGGAGTTATTAAGTATTATAGTTTTTTAAATTATTTAAATAGGACAAAATGTACGGAGGCTCGAACCATCAACCCGGTTTTAGGGGACAAAGAATGTAACTACGTGTACATAAAGTCGAGGTTAAATAAATAAATAAAAAAGTAATATTCTACCACCTTCACACAACGTCTCTAGTCCCAAACTAAGCAGAGCTTGTGCTATGGCTACTAGACAACTGATATAAATACATATATACTATTTTTTTTGCATTTGCAAAAAAAAGTTATACATATTATAAAAAAAGTTATAAAGTTATACATATTATACATAAAAACACACATCACATCACATCACATCAACAGCCTATACTAGTCCACTGCTGGACATAGGCCTCTCCTTAGAAAGGAGGTTTTGGCCTACTATACCACGCTGGCCAGACGGGTTGGTATAGGGTTTGTTTACATAAAAACACCCAGACCAAATCAAACATTAAATATATATGCACATAAATGTTTGACATGAGCGGGAATCGAACCCGTAACCTTTTGAATAGCAGTCCGTTACACAAACCGCTACGCCATCCGGTCGTCAAGGTCGCCATACTATGAAATAGAGATGATGATGTTATACTGTATAAGGTATTCATGTTAAATGTGCGTATTAAATGAGTAGGCAAACAACTCTGATAAATTCACTGCTGCTAAAAATATAATGAAAAAGTTATGACATTGAAAACGTGCATATCTTAACAATAATGCTGATATGCATTAAGTAGGACGCATACGCTATTCCAAACACAAAAGTTAATGTGTAGCTTAGCTAATAGAGAGAAAATAACTTAAGTATTCATTCACGCCTATATCCCGGAAAGTATAAGAGATGTATTTTTGCCGACCATACTTTTAATCCCACTTCGTAACGACAAACCAAGCGTATCGCCGTTAACCGGGGACTTTAGGAATTGGATGAGAAAGTTAGAACAAAGACAGACATTACATAATATAGATGTTCCTACTAAAAAGTAGGTAAAGTTTCAACAGTTACCCAATCGGTCTTTCCAATTGTAAATTATACTATAAATAAATATGGAAGAGTACAATGAATTTAACAAGCATGCAAATTATTATGTGAGAAAATACTCTTGCAAATTATAGAACACATTCTTAATTAACCATGTTTTTAGAACGTTCTAGAACATTTTTCCATCCAATTTCATTATTTCTAGCGGATGTTTTTTTTTTTTTTTTTTTAAAAAAGACAACGCCCGCTTTAGGAATAAATCCTGTGTCGCGGGGGACTTTACAAACATACATGAAACGGACACAAAGAACACCCAGACTCAGAACGACAATTTGTGGGTCACACAAAGTGTCGTCCCATGTGGGGTTTGAACCCACAACACTCGGCGTAGTAGGAAGCGGCGTGGCGACCGCTTAAACCACTACGCCATCCGTGCAGTCAGCTTATTATGTTATGTATGTGCTTTTATTATTATTAGGTAGGTTTATTATATTGCATTTATGTATATTGCGTATATAACAAAAGTTGGTAAGATGGGAAGTCAATGGTTGGATATTGCTCATACGGACGGATTGGGGAGTATGAATAAGCATATACAAAGTAAGATATATTTAAAAGAATTAGAAAAAATAACTATCTTCTAAAACGAGTATGTAGTTGCGAAAGATTGTCAAAATAATATAATGGCTGTTATTGTGTTTGGTAGAAACTGTTATTGTGACTTATAAACTCCAAAGATTTTTTATATATTTTCGGAGAACTTACACACAACGCCATCTAGTTTCATACTAAGGAGAGCTTGTACTAAAACAGCTAGATTGACTGATAGAATACTTATATACTTTTTTTTGAAAATACATACATTTTATACATAGAAAACACCCACACTCCGAAACAAATATTTACAGATCATACAAACATTTGGTCCGACCCGGGCATCAAACCCCAGACCCCTACACCGCAATCGCATACGCTACCACGGCACCACTGAGGCAGTTATAAATGTCTTCTCTTAATTCTTTAAACAGTATAACTTGAACTGCCATTGTATAGACGTTCTTTTACTAAAACGAGTCAAAATATATATTGAAAATGTATCTACAGTTTCCGTACCATATTTTGTATGTAAATAGCAATATTCTACACAGATACCAGACAATGGGCTGAACCGGCTCTCAGATCGGATCCTGCTGTTCCGACACGACTATTGCTCACCAAACGTGCTGCAGCTCATTAACTCCGCCTCTGACGTCACAGATGAAACGCTAGTCGAGATCGTGCTTACCGCCAGCCGTGAGTACCAAGACTTTTACACTTGAAGGACTGCATCCATGTCTAATTTTTTATTTTATTTCATATTCTACCACATTCACATAACGCCATCTAGCCCCAAACTAAGCAGAGCTTGTACCATGGGTACTAGACAACTGATATAAATACATATATACATTTTTTTGTAAATACATACATATTATACATAGAAACACCCAGACCAAATCAAACATTAAAAGTTCATGCACACAAATGTTTGACTTGAGCGCAAATCGAACCCGCGACCTTTGGAATAGCAGTCCGTTACACAAACCACTACGCCATCCGGTCGTGAAATTAGTTGTGACTGTTAAAAAAATTAATACTCTACGCACTGAATGAATACTCTTTAGGATTCCTAGAATTGTTGGCATCTTATAAACCTACAACCGCTTTACGTTCAGAGACAGAGCTAGCCTCTTTCCTTTGGGCTACTCTTCCTCTCTTTGATCATCATAGGATTTTGGAAGTTTTTTTTTTGTCATAAGTAGCAAAAACTGAACCACGTTCAAATATTTCAGCGTTCGTGTGTGATGACGAACAGCCGGCGCCGGCGCCGCGTCCTCACGCACTCTCGGTGCACTCATACAAGGCTCCCACATTCTGCGATTTTTGCGGAGAAATGCTCTTCGGGCTAGTGCGGCAGGGACTCAAATGTGAAGGTACGTTTTGTAGTAATAAATAAAGAGGTAAGGTAAACATTTCTCAAAACAGACCTCCTGCAGTTTTATCTCAATGAACCGACCCTAGTATTTTGAGATACAGTGACGTATTTACCCTAAGATTAAAAAGGCTTGGGCGGGGCAGTCCTTACCTCAAAGGTAAAAAGGAACCCTTATAAGAGATCACTTTCTTGCCCGTCTGTCACTACCGATTTTCTTAGGAACGGTTACACCTAGCAAGTTGAAATGAATACCAGATTTTGAGGTCTATGGTCCCTATTAGGTCTGTAAAAATCAAGGTCCTGAATCAACACGATAAAAGATATGGACAAATTTCGATTTTCGCGAAAACTTGTAAGTACCAAAATTTACCCTTGTTTTCAACATTTTTTATTTTTCAGAATCTCCCCTTTTTTTTGGTATTTACAAATTTTCGCGAAAATCTACGTAAAATCTGGGTAGGTACGGAACCCTCGGCGCATGAGTTCGACTCGTACCTGACCGGATTTTTTATTATTTGCATATAACCTTGCTACCGTATGTACGCTCCCTTACAATATAAATCTTTTGTTCCAGGATGCGGCCTAAACTACCACAAGCGCTGCGCGGTGAAGGTCCCGTCGAACTGCACGTCGCCGGTGGTTGCGGGTGGCGGGGGGGGGCGGGGGGGCGAGCTCGCGGCGCGTGTCGGCGGGCGGCGCGTCCACGCACAGCCACGCCTCGCACGACGACTCGCTGGTAAGGAGGCTCGCGCACCTCGTCACCGGCAACAGTAAAGACAGCGTCTAGCGCTCACTCACTTCTTCATCTCTTCTGGGTTGTCTTAAAAGCCTAAATACTGCCGATTCAACCAGCATAACATGCTATTAATTTTGCTGCGTCATACGTATTGTGTCAAGAACTATATACAGCAGGATAAAAAGGTATATCCAATTTTTAGGAGAGTGTAGCGAAAAATATGACCACAACTTTGCAACTACCTGTTTATTACATACTCTATGTAAATATAGAGATTTTCATACTTGGTTGTTTACACACATACGTTACATTAGATCCACACTTGGCGACTAAAATAATGATAGTCTCTATTCTATCTCAATAAATACATCATTACTTAAAAACCCTATTTCCTATCTACTTACCAGATAAAATAATGTGGATACGCCATCCCGGGATCGTTTGAAATTTCTTCAACTATTAAAATTCGTATTTTAATACATTTATAGAACGAATAGGAAATCGGCAGTATTATTTTCATGTTACAACCATTCAATTTTTACAAACATACATAAAGAAATCGCTTTTCTTAGTAATTATCTTTTTACAAACATTGTATTTACAATTGCATTGTTATTAGTAATGAAATACGTCCTATTTTAATATACATTCCGAATGTGACTATTGTCTCTCTTAGTATGTAACTGATAAGATACTTTTAAAGGATATTCTGACATAAATGTTTAATAATAAATATTATTTTTTAAACGATGACAGCTATATTACTTTTATCTGACATTGACAGTATTCTGTATGGCATTTATATCTGTAGGAACATGTCGAGTATGTCCATATGTTTCTATTGTGTAGTCATCACTTTGTAAAAGGTTGATATCTCGTTTGTTTCCACAAACGTGATATCAACATAATCTAAGTGACATTTTAAAGAATCTCTTGAGTTTAAACTTTTGGAATCTCAGGTTTTTACCTTATTTCACTATATTTAAAAATAATTTTTGAGGAGTACTTTAATCTCCAAAACTACCCTTTAAAACATGAAACTTTAAAACAATAAGAATAATATTTAGAACTATATGTATTATGTCTACATTTTAAAGTATTTAAAATTAGATTTTTTTACAAATATTATATTTTAAGAAAATATTTTTGAATAATATATTTTTTACTTGTTTAAGTATACATATTTGTACTGTATTATTTCCGCACGTAAAATATACTAAAAGCACTGTTTAATGTTTTCATAATTAGTATTATTGTAAACTAATGAATCGAAAGGTGGTGGGTAGCATATGTGGAAATTTTACTTTTTTTACAAATAAAAACCTAATTCCTATAATTTTTCGTTTTATTTTATTTCCCATGTTACCCATCATCCGATTCAGAGACAAGGCTATAGTACCATTTATTGGCACAACGTTTCAAATTTATTTATTACCAGCTATTGCCCGCGGCTCTGCCCGCGTGTATGTCGATTAAAGCGGTAAAAAATCATAGTTTTAAAAAACTAAAAAATATCTGTTGTCTATAGTAAAAAGCACCCCACGCTTTTTTTCAAATTTATTTTCTATTTTTTAGTTTGGTTTTCTATAGAAAGCGTGGTTTTAGTTTTTTTAAACTATATTTTTTTTAATTTAGTGTATTGTCATCGGTCCTCGATATATCTACAAAGTTTAAACGAATTCTGACCGTTTAAAGTCAGTCAAAATCACGCCCAAATTAGTCGGTTACAAACATACAAACAAACATACAAGTGAAGCTAATATAAAGCGTGTAAAAAGTTCCCTTTGTTACTTCCTGATAACGTAGCATTGATGAAACAAACAAACTCACTTTCACATTTATATTATGAGTATTGATTGAGAATTTGCGAAAAACGAAAATGAGATACCGTATTTATAAAATGATTTTTCAAATTGGAATAAAACGTAGTGAGTTTAGTGAGTGATATTCATAAAGTATTAACGGTCCGGTTAGTCATGCGTTTCCGGGAATGTCCGACTATATCTGGATCGCTGTCATGTTGAAGACCCCTTAAAAATACAATTTTATAAAACCATTCTGACTTAATAAACTTAAAATAATTGAGCCTCTTCTAGCCAGGGCGGTGGGCATCTTGTACATACTGTACGGATAAAACTAATCCGCATTAAACAAACGAACCCGCAGCAGAGAGCCAGTATATTGTACGTTTAATTGATAGGTACATACTTACATAATTATACCCAGTGCCACATTCTTCCTTAGTCATTGATCACACTTCTCATAGCAAAGATATAGCGCTAAAATCTACATTAATAATAATCTTTATTGCATTTAAAATTACATTCACTGTTGAGGTAAAATATCACAAATCTATGACACAGACGGTACCAAACCAAGCAAAGCCTGTATTTTGGATGACAGTATCCAGCCGCATGAATATGTACATGTAAGACTACGCTACAATTGAATATAAGGCACTTGCAATACATAGTAATATGTTTGTCCCATTTCAGACCAGAGTCTATGTGAACACCAAGATATTTTACACTTTCTGCTCTTATAATTTGTTGGCATGTACAGACTTTAGAAAGACGTGTGTCAGCTTTAATATTGACGTTGCAAGTAGGGGCGTTTGTTTTTCTCATTGTAAATGGGACATAGAGCGTTTTAGTCGTTTAGGGTAAGAAGGTTAACAGTGAGCCAATTCATAATCAGGGCTAGGGAATTTTCAGCTATCTCTCGCTAGGACCGCCAGTCAGACCCCCAATAAGGACTGCCGTATCATCAGCATAGATGAAAATGTTTGCATTTGGAATGGACAATGTGCAGAGGTCGTTTATATAAAGCTGAAAAAGTTTGAGGCCTAGAATACTCCCTTGTGGGACACCGTATGAGACACTATTTTCTTCAGTAACGTATTGATCTACGCTTACCCATTGTCTTCTATTGGACAGATAGTCTTTGAAGATTTCATGCGCCATACCACGTATGCCCAGCTTTTCCAGTTTGGCTAGAAAGATAGGGACAGAGACCGTGTCAAAGGCTTTGGAAAGATCTAAAAACATGCAAAGGCATTTATTGCCGCAATCTAAATTTTTTACTATTTACGGTAGTTTGAACGCTTCTCTGAATACACCTGTCTTTATGGCGCAATTGCATACATGGGTGATTGGAGGAACCAAAATGGAACGGCATTGTTTTAAAACCTCGGTAGATATAACATCTCATCTTATCGCGAAATTGGAAAGAAGATTTTGGGTGATATTTGCTAAATCCAATTCCAACCAGCTGAGTTTAACGGGCTATTTATGCTGGAAGTGATAACACTTGTTGTTTGAGCAAGGGGGTTGTTTTAAAAGAAAATAGTTTAAATAGAAATAAAACTAATTTCGGAACTGCGATTTAGTTAAATAATTTCCAAATGTAAAATTGCAAAATATGTGAAGTCACACTTGGGAAAAGGATTCCTCATTCTTCCCATCCTAGGAACAAAAATATATCATGAAATGTGTGTGACAACTAACGTGTGACAGTTAAGTCTTATTTAGTAAAGGTCTACTAAAATATAAGGGATAAAAACACGATTTTAAGTCATCTCCGTGTTCCATGGGTGACTACAGATGGGCATCGGCAAGCGCAGCCGCTCCCCGTCCCGCGCCGGCTCCGTGTCGAGCGCGGCGTGCGGCGCGGGGGCGGGGGGCAGCCTCGCCATCCCGCACACCTTCGAGGTGCACTCCTACACCAGGCCCACCGTCTGTCGGTACTGCAAGAAGCTGCTGCGGGGGCTGTTCAAACAGGTGAGACTAGTTATAGTACCTGTACTATTAATACATTTATTATTATAGTATAAGGATATAATACATAGTAGCTACCACCGTCGGTGGACACTTACAACTCTAAGAGTCTCATGTGCGTTGCCGGACTTTGAGTGCCCTTCCTCAAGAACACCCCTAGGGCCTCTGTTAACTTCACTCACTCAGTGTATCGGTTAACACCGGTATTCTGTAAGGCCTGTTCCGGGGACTCCCGTCGAGTTGACCAGTATGTGCTTAATGCTTAAGCATGGTTCTCTCATGCTATTCTTTTTTCGCATACGAATATAAATAAGCGTTTCTTAACAACTGTCAGTAGATAAGGTGAACACGCCTGTGGCCACTTCCACGTACAATGTAACAAAAACGTACTTCAGCGCTACCTAACGAAGACACAGCGAACTATAGAGCAACTACTAATCCTGCACTCACCTGGCTGGAGGATCTTTGTATTATATATTTGTAACCCATTAATATACTCATAGCCCCATTTACATAGACTAGCCTGATGGTCTAATGGTTAATTTTTCTTGACTGCTTAGGCTGACGTTGTGGATTCGATTTCCACCTATGTAATTGTGGAATTAGCACAATTATTAGCTCTGTGTCTGGATTTATCTATAAAATGTATGTATCTAGAAATATATAGATATATTTATCAGCAATCTAGTTACGAAAGAGGCCATATCATACAGGCCATCGTATGGTCGTGGCTCATTGATGTTGATCCTGGTGTATAGTAGTGGGCGTCGTGTCCCAAGGCCATATCATACAAGCTCTGCATAGTGTGGTGGGATCAGACGACCGTGTGTGAAATGTGTCAAGTTATAATTATTTGAAAATATCCTTATGATATATTTTTGTGTCTACCCAGGGTATGCAGTGCCGCGACTGCCACTACAACGCCCACCGCAAGTGCATCCCGCTCATCCCGAAGGACTGCGGCGCCGAGATACGGGACCCGCACAGTAAGTGTTAGTACACACTCTAACTACAGGGTTTGCAACACACCAAACCACTACCATATTCATTCATTTTCATACATTTAATTTAAACACTAGTGTAGATAAAACAACATACATGAATTTAATTGGCATACTCCGTGACAAGTCGAGTATTATAAATTCGGGATCCAGTGTGATGCCACGGCCACTCGTTGTTTCGGTGCTTTTCACCGAGTGAATGTGGTTACTTAAGGCTCAGTCCCCCCCCCCCCCTTCCCCATTAATCCTAACTAAGAAGGGAGGAGTCACTCAAAGGCTGCTCTTTCCCCTTTGAAATAAAAATAGAAATAATATGGGTTATTACTTCGTAACTAGATATCATTAGGCGGGGAAATTTCGACCGTTTAGAATGTTTTTTTTTTATTATATCGACCAGTATAACTTGAACTGTCGTTGAATGGACTTTATGGACAGGTTTGTGTATCCGTTTTGCATAATGTTCAATAGCACAAATTGTATAAAATTTAGCTTTCTGCACTTCTTCTGTAAGTATTTTAATATTGATGCCTGCGCCAAAATTTGTTCAAAAAGGGATACCAAGACATTACAAAACTTGACGACTACCCACTCTAATCCAACAATTTTTTAATTCGTTGTCGTATCATAAGACGCGACATCCTCTCTCACATAACACATCACCTTTCAGCCCTTCAAACTAGCTTATTGTTAAACTTACACGGAATAATAGTTTACTCAGATATTGTAATCTTTGTTTTGTTACAAAGGCTTGTTGACGTTTCACAAAACCTTTTTAAACCTTGTTTTAAGCATAGCTTATATCGCGGGCCTTGAGCGTGGAGACCGAATCCAGAAATTCCGTAACGAAAATAACCTAACACGCCCACGTGATACTTTTTAGTTTTGCCATCTATCGATGAATAGCAGGCCTTTTAATGACTTTTTGAAATATCACGCTTGTCTCTTTAGTTCAGCAACTCGCCTCTAGGTGGCATTGGTTGTATCGGCGTTACTGCGCATGCGTAATCCCCCTCTTCGCCCCGCAATCTAATTGATATCAAAGAAAAAAAAACAAAGGAAAAAAATACTGCATAAATAAAATTAATAAACAATTATAATTGCATAAGTTGATAAAAAATGCTATGCCATAGCTTTACCGCGGCAGTCCCCGAGTGCCACACGTCTTTTTTTTTAAGTTGGGATTAAATGCTAACCGCGGCAGAGCCTGCACAGACCATAACAGGAGAAGTTAAACTTGTTGGATTGATATTGTGATAAAACTCTCATTGTATAAGACTTTCATACATACACTCACCAGTGGACCATCTGCTTTGGGGTTCAAATTATTAAGATTGTACGATGTTTATGCACATTTTTTGCCGAATTCTACTGATATTTTTAATATACATATATATCGCATAGGTGAGTACCAGGACAGCAGCACTGGCAGCGAGTTATCAGAGTCGGTGCGAATGCCGGACGACGAGTCAGACGACGGAGGCAACGACGCACCCGATATCACTACTATTGATGAACACGAGGTAGCCATATACTTTATTCATAGTGCGATGATGAAGTAATATATAATCCGACATAATGGAAGAAATAACACTGGAAATATAACTGTTTTTAAATTCTATAATAGTTCATAGCGCTGCACTTTATGGTTTTTGACCGAAAAAACGGACATCTTATTTTATTTTCATCTATCGATAATCGGAATCGTTCTCAATGGAAGAGTAGAACTCCCGTGCGACAATTTTGATTTAAACGTAAGATACATGCTCTAAAAGCAATAGAAAGTGTTATTTTTTAAACTAAAAATATTTTTTATATTTTCCATAGAAATACTTTAATGTCAAATATCTTTCGTTTAAATCAAAATTATCGCACGGGAGTTCTATTCCTTCATTGAAAATAATAACGTTTATCGTTAGATGTAATTAAATTAAGATGTCCGTTTTTTTCGGTCGAAAACCATATTGTGCGCTGGGATTAACCCGTAAACTACGATGACACCTCGGGTGCATCTAGGCAGATGACGATACCATTAGTTAATCTTCTATAAAATCTATTATTACCTACTTTCTTACTTCACTGTCATATTTTAGATCTTTTGAAGGTTATATGACCTTATAATGTAATTTATTTATACCTTCAATTTCTTTTTCAAATTAAATTTGTGTTCAAGGTACAACTGCGTCGTCGGCCTGGAGACCACGAGGATGAACCGCAGCGTGACACACTCCCGGAGCGATCGGCGAGCCGGCCGAGCAGGTAAGGCGGTTTGTTGGCTAAGCTGTCCGACAATGTGTGTGGTGGTGGCGGTGATGGTGCTTTATCATTTGCATTGTTCTTTATTATACATATATTTCTTTATTCACAAAGATATTTTAGAAAGTGGATGTCACGTCTTAAGCGACTGCTTCAAATTTTCTTTTATTCGATCGACAACGATCCCTCTTCAACAAGCGACTATAGAAACTCAACATTATAGTAACTATTGTAACTATAAAGACTCCAGTACTAATCCCATACAACATATTAATTTTTACATATTAAATGTTCAAATTTATTTACTTAAATATTAATTACTACTAATTAAAAGTATTATAGTGATCGTCACGGGTACCGGGATAATTAATTTGGCTTTTCGAAGACCACTCGCTATATAGTCAAAATATATGTATTAGTGTCATCATTATTTTGTTAAAAGTAGGTATTAATTATACAAATTAAATATATTATGATTATGAAATATAATATAGTATGTGCTTACGTCTTAATGAGCTATATTTATGGATATCAAAAAAAAAATATAGATAGTATTTAGATGATAAATAAAACTACTCACACCGTCACTACCACACTTCACCATCTCATCCTCCAACACCCCGTCCTTGTAGATCTGACGCGTCTCTACGTTACAGCTCATCATCATCTCCCAGTGCAAACATACCCTTAATGCGAATCGTGCAGTCGGTCAAACACACCAAGAAAAGAGACGGACAATGGTTGAAAGAAGGATGGCTGGTCCACTTCACAAATAAGGATAAGACTGTAAGTTTCTTTTTTGGAGTATCAAACGTCCAACATTGCTTCCAGTATCCAAACTCAAACTCAAATATCTTCATTTCATTAAAAAAATATTGAAATCGTCTCTTGTGTAGACTCTAAAGATCAACACACACAATAGCAACAATCTCTGCTTTGTCAAATATTTAGCAAACGAAATATCGATAATCTGTAATATGCCTGTGCATCTACAACCGCCCATTTCCAAGGGGTTGAGTCTCACGAGAAGAAAGGGCCAACAAACTCACGGCCAATCTTTTTAATCAACAGATAACAATGGCATCATCATATGTGTTTAAGGACTAAAAGGTAAAAAGGCAATAAAGAGAAAACAAGATAGAAAAAGATGGAATAAAAAAGGAAGTAAAGTAAAACATAAAAAAATTGAAAATTAAATAAAAGACACACTAGCCCACATCACATTTCCACTACGAAATAGCCTGTGCTAAATTAATCCCAAACATTCTTGTCTTCTATGTAATCCACAATCTTATTTATATGTGGGCCCCACTGTGGCTTAGAATCTAATGTTATTCCTAAAAATGACGTTGTATCCAAAAGGTTTAGCTCGACATCCTTAATCATCACAGTGGTCATCTGATATCATTAGTACTGGTAGACCTTGGTGCTTTGACAGGCAGGTCATTTAATATTTGGGGACTTTTAAAACGTGAATGACAGTTATTCAGGTCACAAATGGCTCCAACTCATACATACATAACATATTCAGCGAAGTAAAGTCAGAATATATAAATTAATATTTTTAGGTCAACGTTAATCACAAGATGCCTAGTACCTAGTCTGAGCATCACACCATGGCCTGTCGTGGTGTAAAACACGCTCTTCTGCTTATTTAAATGTGTTTTAAATTTGTATATGATGAAATGTTTGTATCGACACTTTTAGTTGAAACGTCACTACTGGCGGCTCGACAGTAAATCAATTACTCTATTTACGTCAGAACAAGGAACAAAATACTACAAGGAAATCCCACTGAACGAAATTTTGGCGATAGATACTGCCAGGCAGCCCCATCCAGGTATGTTGTTTGTTATTGTATTTAATATAGGGTATCTACTTACTGATGCTTACTTTAAATTATTTTAATTAGTTGCTTACTATTTAGTACGATATTTGTAATGTACAAATAGAAAGGTAAAATTTGTGAATATGTTTCGAGTAAATCTGACTCTGAATTTTAATATATTAATAATCAGATTACCTTATTTTAAAAAAATGGTTAATAATGTTTAAATGAAACTGCCACTGACATAGTAGGCACATTGCACAAAGCAGAATGAAAAGGGTCCAAGTACGCCACCTTGGGGGATCCCAAATTTACAGACTACAGCATCCATAGCTATTCTATGGTCGACGAAATCGAATGCATTAGATTTTTTTTATTAAATCGTGCTTGTTAAAATAGAGCAGCGTATTTCATTTTGTTATATAGAAATCTGGTTTAAAAGCAGAGCAAGAAAATGTAAATACCAAATTTTCGAAGAATAATCATACCGTATTAAACCAATTAGACATTTTTTAAACAATGAACGGTGTTTGTATATGGCAGGTACAGGTGTGCTACACTGTTTCGAGGTTCGCACGGCCAACGTGGACTATCTGGTGGGGGTGGAGGAGGCGTGGGTGGGTAGCGCGCCTCCCCCGCCGGACTCGGGGCTGGGGGCCTACCTCGCACGCTCTTGGGAAACTGCCGTCAGGCAGGCGCTGATGCCTGTCACCCACCATGCCGGTACGTACCCTTACTTGTTCTTGAAAACTCGAGTCACGGTATCTCATAAGAGTAATCGTTTGAGATCAATCTAATAGAAACATCTATGCGTAACCATTCGGAGGTATAGGACATAGGTGTGAGCATATCTCGTACAAGGTTTACCAATAGGTACGAGTATACTAGTCTAATCTAATATACTTATACTTATATTTTCCTTATAAGGTTGAAAAATAGCTTTTCACGAAATTACTCATATAGAGTATAGAAAAGTCAGACGAAAGAAATGAATAGTAATATATGAAACATTTTGTTTGATGTATTCGATACTGATTGTGTGTGACCGGCTCGGCTAGCGCTGAGGCGGGCGCTCTTATGTGTGGTGTGTGTGCCCACAGCCGAGTCGCGAGGCGCGGGCGCGCCCGAGGCGGAGGGCGAGGCGGCCACCGAGGAGCGCGTCACCGACATGGCGCAGCTCTACCAGATCTACCCCGACGAGGTGCTGGGCTCGGGGCAGTTCGGCATCGTCTACGGCGGCCTGCACCGCCGCACCAAGAGACCCGTGGCCATCAAGGTAAACCCCATGGTTTATTCTATTACACTGCTATTATATGTACTAATAGTTTGAATGACATGACAATACTCGGTAATGTTTAGTTTTGCAATCAGTTAAAAGCATCTGTTCAAACGACCTGCTCTTCTGCAATACCTAAATACTATTCTCTTATATCAATTCACTAGGTGATAGACAAACTCCGCTTCCCGACAAAACAAGAAGCTCAACTGAAGAACGAGGTAGCGATCCTCCAGAATTTGTCGCACCCGGGAGTTGTTAACTTAGAACGAATGTTCGAGACTCCAGAGCGGATCTTTGTCGTCATGGAGAAGTTGAAGGGAGATATGCTCGAGATGATACTGTCACATGAGAATGGGAGACTGACGGAAAGGATTACCAAGTTTTTGGTAGCGCAGGTAAACTACTATAAACATTATGTTGTTTTTTTAATGTCAAGATTAAGAAATATTCAATATCCATTTCAACGAAAAATATTTCTATTTGCGATTCATCGCATGTTTCAAATTTTTGTGGTTTCGGTATATTCTTCATTCGTCCTACTCTTATCATTCGTTTCACTATACACTCTATTTCTAGCCATATCCCCTTACTAGCAGTCTAGCAAAACGTCTATTGGTTAACTGAAGTTGAGCGATCATAAATTACCTTGTGCATGTAGAGATTCTTTTTCAGATCGATCATTTACAAGCGCAAACCAATATTGTCATCTTTGCATGATGAATAATAATATCCTTGTGTCATTTAAGCTTTAAACTTTACCTTACGGAAAGCTTTGTTGGAAATAAAATATTAATACTAAAGCTGAGTCAAACATAGTATCAACGCTGCAAGTATGCTTAACAAGCAGTAACCCATCTTTATTTAGTAGATGATACTTAGTTATTATAAATCAATGAAGTTATTTGTGAATTTTTCTTCGTCAAATCCACATTACATTTGTACAAATTTAACTATATATAGTATATTGGGTTGGTACTGATTTATTACACTATTTATCATCGTATTTCGACTTCTTTCTATTTCACACTTCCGTATGTTATTCCGTTTCCGTATTCCGTTATGTCGTTTATAAAGTAGTATTTGATTCCTTACGATATTGTTTTTTTCTATTCGTTTCTAGATTTTAGTATCCCTCAAACATCTACACGAGAAAAACATAGTCCATTGCGACTTGAAACCGGAAAACGTCTTGCTGTCCACCGACGAAGAGTTTCCACAAGTAAAGCTGTGCGACTTCGGCTTTGCCAGGATCATCGGCGAGAAGTCCTTCAGAAGATCCGTGGTTGGCACACCAGCATATCTTGGTAAGACATACTACCTAATGTGGACCGATTGTAGCTGGGAATCAAAGCGGTCCTAATGTACATAAGTGTTTAAAAACATTCAATTTGACAATAATTTGATGACAATTGATAATGTGTAAAATCATTTTTTTATGAATAAAAGAATCCTACGTCCAAAAGATCAATTATTGTTATTTTTGTTTTTATTGCTTTAGCTATTTTCATATGAGATTCTCTTTCTAGCTCCTGAAGTCCTCCGTAACAAAGGCTATAACCGTTCTTTAGACATGTGGTCGGTAGGTGTGATCATTTACGTGTCACTCTCTGGCACATTCCCCTTCAACGAAGATGAAGATATTAACGAACAAATTCAGAACGCTGCTTTCATGTACCCCCCTACACCCTGGAGGGAAATTTCGGCGGAAGGTGAGTTGTACATACAAGAATTATTATTGTATACTAACTAAAATTAGTCAAGAATCGTTAAGTGTCTTAATTAATTACAGCTCCATTTAATATACAGGAGAAACAATTTTTAATGCTTAAATTTTTTTCTAAGAAAATTAGAAAGGCTTTTGATAGCAGTGATAATAATATAATAATTTAAATTTGATTACAGTATTTACCCTCAACTTAATTGTTTTTAACCTTAGTGAGAAATAATGATATGGTGGGATAAATATGGTATAAATTCTTAGAAAACTATGTACCATTTATGTTAACATACGAGTATTATAATTGGTAATAACAGTAATGGGAGCATGCCTCAGGGATGTGTTCTCGGCCCTTTTTTTTTTACTGGGGTCATATCGTGTTGATATTTGTATAGTTTAATTCTTCTAATCGTGCCGTAATCGCTAGAGAACGTACGCATTCTTACATTTTTGTTGACTTTGAGGTTTGTCGTGAATTATTTATTTTTACACAAGAACAATCGGTCCTAACGGATGGAACGGTCAACACGTAAAGAACAAATAAAAGTATAAGACGTTTGAACAGCGATCGACCTGATCAACAACCTGCTGCAAGTGAAGCAGCGCAAGCGCCTGTCGGTGGACAAGTCGGTGTCGCACGCGTGGCTGCAGACGGGCGAGGCGTGGCGCGACCTGCGCGTGCTCGAGGCGCGCGTGGGCACGCGCTACCTCACGCACCCCAGCGACGACGCGCGCTGGCCGCCGCCCGAGCCCACGGCCCCCGAGCCCTCCGCCCCCGAGCCCCCCGCCCCCCGGCCCTCCGCGCCCGACCAGCGCTGACTGTACGTATACTTCGCTCGTACCCGATTGCACTCCAGCCTTATACCTGGGACGTTTTCTACTCCCAGATCGCAGACTAAACCTTCCGAGGAGGACGACCGCCCGCGCGCCTCGACGGGTCCGGGCGTCGGGACTCGTCGGAAGAGTCTCCTCGTCCGGGTCCGCTACGCGCCCCCGCCCCCGGCCCTGCCTCCTCACGCCTGAGCATTAACGTAACGTACCGAGCGACGTGCCAATCGACACCGATCGACCGTGCCTTTTGATATTTCAAAACGTTTATACCGCCAATAATGACAATAGTGAGAACTTCGCTACGCAATGAAATTATATTAATGTGATGCTCCACTCGAATTGCACAAACGATTGTACAAAACATGATTTTATCGCATAATAATAATTATGTAAATTTTCATATTTACATTTAATACATGACATTATATTGTTAATGTTATATTTTTTTTATTTTTTTTACAAAAAGCTCTATTTTGCTTTACACATTTTATATGAAATACATTCCTTAGCCACAAAGTTATTTAAATAATAAGTAATAAAAAGTTGCCAAAACATAGGTATTTCATATAAAACAAATTATTAGTACTTACCGAAAGCCTTTTTATTCCGAGATATACAAACGCCAATGTTGTTATAAGCCAAATGTTACTTGTACGTAATACCTATTTTTTATCAAGTTTTATTTTAAAGCTGATTCACGTGATCCAGTGACGCTTACTTTAACTTCGATAGTCGAGATCGCTACAGTTCGCAGAACTATGAACCTTTTTTTATAAAAACGAATATTCTATACAAGAACTAATCCAGTCACTTTAACCTAAGCAAGACCGCGGTGTGGACTTTAGGTATGAAGCTACAAGTACGCGAGTCTTGATTTTGTCGGGCAAAATTCAATGGGCCACGTTAGTGCAACACTTACTCGCGCCCTACGTACGTCTTCGTCAGTATGTACTAATGATAAAAAGTTAAGGTTCATCTAATACATTATTTAAACAAATACAAACATAATTTACTGTTAAAAATTAAAAATTTAGATTAGTCTAAAAGAACCCTAACCCTAACGTCGCTCGTCTAAAGAGTCACGCGATAGAAAGAGAAACAACTTTCAGATGAATATAAGTGTATGAGTACTAGTACTGCAAATTGAATTAAACCTTATTGTGTCGAAAGAAAAGTCGCTTTTCATTTAAATGATTTTGCGTGATGATGAAGTGAGTCTTCTGTACTTGCACTATAATGTATTGTTTAATAAATATGTCTGAATTCGTCAACTCCATAACTTGTAGTGTATTTTAGGAAATTAATTCGCCTTTTATTGTAGTTAATACTCCTCTCATATGCACGGCATTGCCGAGCTATAAATTGCTGAGAGGGATGCTGTTCACTGGATCACTGTAGATCAGTGTTTGTTCCATATTTTTTATAGAATTTAATGATACAACAGATCTCGATGAGTGTTACTCCAAACGCAGCTTTTGATATCTTTTTATTTTTGGACCGTTACTTTTATGACATTAATAAACTGTGTTAATGTGAATAACTTTATAATAACATTTTATACTTTTTTTAAATGTTTACTTTGTTAATATTTTTTATTAAAATAATAGTCACAAAATAATAAATAACAAATATGGTTGTCAGATAAGTGCATTCCTGGATTGAATTATTTTTTATTTAATTTTTGATGTATAGTTACTTATGTTTAGTTAAATTATAATTTACATTAACTGCGTCTATTTGTTGTAAACAAATATTAAGTTATTTATTTTAAGTGTTACATTGGAGATGTTTAGGAAAAACATCACCAGTATTTGAATGATAGGAAGCCAGAGGACCTCAGGTCCATTGGGAGCACCAGGACCCATTCATCCTGTGAGGAGTTGCAATTCTAAAGTACATATAGCACAAGGGATAATGGTTTTATAGAGTAAATGTTAACTAGTTATCTAGATAAATAATATATAACTTATCCAACATTTTTCCTCTATTTCCTCCATTTGTAAATTACTATATAATTATTGTATTACATTAAATATTTTTAATTTATCAATGTGCTATTAAATGTTTGAACTCACAATTTACTATGTAAAAGTAGTATTCTGACATCACTTCTATAATCAGTTCATGAATGAGGCAGTTGAAAGAAAGACAACATACGTAAATATACGAGTACATGACCTCAGGAATTTTCCTGTCTACAGTGGGCAAGTGGGCAGAAAAGGCAGCACTAATATTACCATAGGCCTTCTCCTACCAACCTTAGGCACTTTTTGCATCTTTTACCGACCCATGACATCTAATTTGACTTATTTGACACCCTATTTTGACGTTTATTACGTTCGTTCATTCGTCATCATATCGTTCTCTATATTGCTTCTGTTTACTCCCATACGTATATATAACTATCTAGGATTAACTCTACGTATCCAAACAACTATAAAATTAATTTATAGAAAAAGATAAGATTTATAAAACTATTATCGGACCTGCCGCCCTGTATGGTTCTTAAAGTTGGCCCATTAAGAGAACGGATGAGAGACGCCTGAACGAAATGCGAATGCTGAGATGGATGTGTGGTGTGAAAGTTTTAGATATGAGAGTTGAAGGTACAAGAGAAGATGAAGACCAAGAAAAAGGTGGATGGACTGAGTGAGTGAGGATAAGGCTAGGAAGGGAGTAAACAGATGACGAATGATGAGTAGAATGGAAGAATCATACTTACTCACCGACCCCAAATAAAATTGGGATAAGGGTAGGCAAATGATGATGAAGAGAAGAGAGGATGATGAATAAGAAATGAAACATGCCTCATTCTGAATTAGTGCATTTGATATTTTTTTACATTTCCACTAAGTTTATGCTGAAAACAAATTTCAGAGAAAAAGGTCATATCAATACTATAAATTAATTATAAGCTCAAATCATACTAAAAATCATTCATGTCTAATATTGAAGAAGTTGACCACATCTAATTTTTGTTATTACTCTAAAGTAATTAACAATTTTATGTTATTTACTAACTTGGTAAAAAATTAGACGGCCTAAGTAGGTATAGAATTATTGTACATTTAAAATACAAAGAGATTTTTCCTTGGAAAACCCCATATAGTGGGAGAATAAAACGCAATATTAAGTAATACATCGAGTAACGTATGACTTGTATGTATGTTTGGTTTCCTACATTTAAGCTCTTCCAATGGTACTTTGCATAATTGATCTGCTGCAGCAACTGCTCATCATGAGAAGTCGTGTGGTGGTTTGCTGAGTTATTCTGGTCAAGTTGGTTTTCAATTTATATTATCTCGACATCGATTAAATACCGTTGCTAGAGGAGGCGAAAGGGGTATAACGACACCCACTAGTGAAAAAGAAACTACCGCCATAATCTCAACAATTAAGTTCCAAGTTAAAAAAAAACTACTCGAAGGTAAAAATTAAATTGTACTTGACGTTGTATTGGATTGGACGTGATGTAAAAAACAGCACTTACGAGCTGCTTACACAAAATAAAATATTATTAATAAAAAAGATCCATAATCAATAGAGAACTAACAATGCAAATAGACATATTTACCCGTACAATAATTTGCACCGAGCGGGACCTTACCCTAATTTGTTACTTAATTTCCATCTACCCTCAGTTGATTAATAACAAATAACAAAGATATAGGCCTAGAAATAATTGAAATAAATATACTTCAAAAAATGTGTTTGAGAACTGTATTGTTGAGCCTTAATTCTAAGAAAGGAGCGACTTAGGTATGCCGTCAGTGGAATAGGAAGAATTATTTATTTTAGGTGCGAATATTTTTTTATTATATTTAAAGTATAGCCGTTTTTTCAATATATCTCTGAATAGAATGACAAAGGCAACCGGACGCACCTAGCTCTAAGCTGTGATTTTATACAATGTTATTTTGTACGATTTTTACAATATTTTACAAAACCAACTTCCATTTTTCTGTGATCTCTTTGTATCGCGTTGTTTTATTCGCAGTTAGTTTTTTGTCAAATATTTTATTATATTTATTGTATTCATTTTTCATGGAATAGATTATATTTTGAGCATTCAGCATGTTCCTAGTATATAGTGCTAATTTTACATTTTAGTATTAGATAAACGTATGTATGATAAATCAAAAATTAAAAAAACACTTCTAATTTGTTATGAGTGATTGGGCTCACACTTTTTTTTATTATACAATGCATTTTACTTATGCATGTTAATTCTGTCTTAGTAATTATAACTGTATTTAATACTATAACTATATACTAAACTATATATGCTTCTATATAAGTACTAAAATTATTTAATTTAATGGTCAATTTTGTATTTTTCCCATTTTGTGTAAGCAAAATCTCCAGTTATGGAGATGGACGTGCTTATTGTCACTTTTGTCGACTTGCTTAATGAAAAACACTGTGACCTTTAGTATTATTATTTGCATTAATGTTATATTGTATATACGTTTATATACAAACGTATATACAACACTACAAGTTCCACTTGTTCCAGTTTCAATGAAATATTTATTTTGAATAATAAATTTTGGACCAAACCGTAATATATACTCGTAAAATATGTATGTTATTATCAGCAGCATTAGATGTTAATGTTCGAGTGTTTGAATGTGTTGGGAATAGTGAAATAACGTATCAAAAACAGCCTGTAATAGTCCACTGCTGGACATAGGCCTCTCCTTAGAAAGAAGGAGGTTTCTAACGATGGTTTGGTTTGGTAATTTATATTCTATCTTATAACACTGAATTTACTTTGTGTAGTTACCGCTACAGATCGTTACTAACGTATTATCCGCTCGTTAAACGCTGTAAGCTACCTTCAGAAAAAAACATGTCTATCATAATGTCACTAAAAACTTCTAAGTTTAAATTCTTAATTATGTTTAAAGCCAAATATACACCTAGATATCAAATCTTGAACTTTCGTAAGTAATTTTAAAGGTTTTACACGCGGTGTATTTCGCGGATGCCTGACTCTGTCTAGACCAGAGGAAGGCTATTTTACAAGGAGAAAAGCATCCCGTTGCGAAGGTATCTGTTACGCTAGTTTATGATTATTAGATATTGTGTATGCTACCGACCGACGTGAGCTTATTCCTGACGCAAGCGTTAAGTAAAGTGGGCAGACTTAATACAAATACATACTAGAACTAAGTCACTATCCATATTTTCATTTAAAATATCTACATTTTAAAAATTCTTGCAACTTTTTAAGTCTGACATTGAAATCAATTCTCAAATATTTAAAAAAAAATGACCCCAAGTCCCCTGAAGATAG